GTTTACCCTCCCCGGTTTCAGATTAATTTAAATAACGACGTATTAGTTAAATCTCGTAATGCAATATCTATCTAACGAACTTTACAACGGGCAAGACTGACTGTCTCGTGACAATGCGCATAAATACGTCTGACTGGTGAACACCAAAAACAAACGAAACGGCTACGTTTCAACGTCAAAGCAAAGGAACAATTAATGTCCACCACCAAACAAGCCTCGTTTCCATCTGCATTCGTCTCTTTCCGTTTTTTCCTGCCTCCTTCCTTAATGAATTACTGCGTCGTGTTCAAATACAATAAACCTGTATTTTCGTATCTTGAGATTAATTAGGCTACGCAGCGATAACCAATTTCTTATCGCATCGACCGGAGATAAAATTTTTACAAAAGAAGAAACCTAACCGTTTAACACGTAATAACTTTACAATTAAATAAACAAAATACAAGGCGGATATTTAAATAAAATACAACATTAACCTCGAGACGATCGAGATCAAATGAACGAACACAGTTTACGCTGACCCGTTATTATTATAGCTTCTGAAGCCAAATAAATGGTGTGCTTAAGGTAGTTTACACAATACACGTCTTTAAAAGAGGCCTGACAGTAAATTTTGCCGTTTTGTGTTTCTGTGATCCCAATCTTTACAGAAAAAAAAACTTGTATCAAGATAGATGGTGCTTGACCAAATGTAATGCATGAAAACGTAACAATAAGTTGCTAGTTGAGGTATGAGAGAAAGAGACAAAGAAGAGAGGGATACAGGTATGGAAGAAAAAACAGGAAGAGATTAAATCGGAAGAGGAATAAAGAGGTTATACTTGTGAAGTAAAATATAGGCATAATAAATTAAACAAATATAGCAAACGAGCTCCTGGGTATGGCTATAGTATGTGCAAAACTAAATTTTAAACCTGATGTTAGTTTTGCTTTTATTTAAAGTGTATATGTATGAAATTTCATTTGAATGCCTCCATAAATAAACTGTGCATGCGCAAAACCAAATTTTGAAACTGATGTTAAATTTTCTTTTATTCCAAGTGGTTATGTACCAAATTTCATTTAAATACCTTCATAAATAAGAAAGTTTGCAATTCGGTCTGTAAATGGTCGAGATGCGCAAAGGGCACTGTGAATGCTGATCGATTAGGTTCAACTTTTGGAATTGTGTTTTATATGGCTAAAGCTATGCGCGTATTGAATTTCATGCAATTCGGTTCATTACTAACGGAGATGTCAAAAGGGCCTACTTTATTTTTTGGGCTACATTGCCAATTCACGAACTCCGATCTACGAATTTGATAAAGAATCCCCACCTGCACAATTTCATCGTAATCGGTCCATTCGTTTATGAGTTATCGTGCTAACGGACGGACGGACGGACAGACACAACAAAATTATAAACTCGCTAGGTGCTCGTTAATAATGAAGAGATAAACTGGATTGGTTCACCACCAATTTCTTCCACAAAAAAATATCTGGGGTCGGTTAGACCGATCTCCTTCATTATACACCTATGGATGGTGTAACGGGAGCACTTGAATGATGTTGAATTTTTTTAATTTTATTAAGATTGCGTACTTTTAGGTATTGTATTTTAAGGACTATACATTTCGGCTCTCAGAAGGCTACGATCTACACAGTAGATATGATTATGTGGAAGATCGTAGAACTATAATTCCTGACTATTCTAAGGGTTGAATGTTTGATGAAAGCAATTTCAATATACTCAGCTTCCGTTTACTATACAATTTTAAGGAATGCTCAAGGTTAGTGACCCGAGAAACTTAATGGCGACAGTCGGACGAGCGATAATACTGTCTTAGTGGGCTTTACGTGCCCAAAACAGCCCAGTCAGGATCACTCATGGTGATATCATGTGGGTTTCGTGTGAAGCACTGATTGTCAATATTAAGTGACCATCGGTTTGGACTTCTGTACGCATTTGATTGGGGCATGAGAACGAATCCGACTCGTTCATGATTAAAGGCGGCCCTGTTAAGGAATTATCGCCATTTTGAACGCATCCATTGGTGTGAATATTTCGAAAGTGGCGTGTGAAGGGTAGTTATAAATGATACACGTTGCATATATACCGCTTCGTACGGATAGTAGGCGCGAGTTAGATTATCAGCGATAAACATGCGCATCTAGAACGCATGGGTTGTTACCAAGGTAGCAGCGAAATTTACTGCTTCGACGGTTCCGGTTTGGCCGAGACAAAAGATGATCTGCTATTTGTTTAAGAAGGACGTTGTCGAAAAATTTGCGTTGGCTCCGTTTTGTGTTTTCCAAAAAAAAATGGGGATACGGGTGGAAACACCAAATTTTAGTTTTGGATGGCAATAAAATTAAGAATTTGGAATTCAGGGGCGTTTGTACACCATTCAAAAATTTTGATTTAAAATGTTTGTGGGAAGATTTTGCAAAACGAATCAACATTGTCGTCTGTAGATCTGTTTATAAAAATCCGATTTTGACATAATTATTGCAAGACGTTTAAAAACCGCTAACACCTCATTCTCCCACATTATTCATAGGTAGGTCCGACTAAAACAAGTCGATTCGAATCGACGGTCCCTAATTTGAATTTCAAATCACGCGTGAAACCATTAAAAAAAACGAGAAGTAGAACACCGTTTCAAACGAACGCAGTAAATAATCGATCATCTACCAACTAGAAAATTACGCAATCTGTTAATACGACAAATTTAACGTAAACAAATTATGGAAGTAATTGACCCATTTTGAGTTTTTTTTTTAGGTAGGTAACTGTGCTCCCCGGTAATTCGATCGGATCACGTTTTAATAACCGAATTTCACAGTTAGTTAGCAAAAGAGTCGTAAAAATGTAAACCGAAAAGTCGAGTTCATTAGTGAAAGCAAAAAAAAAGAGAAGAATCTGTCCATTTATGACGCCGCGGTTACCTACATTTCAGAAATATTCGGCCTGAGAAAGAAGTCTAATTAATTATTGTTGCTGCAACGCCTTCGTTTGTACTTTCTCACGAGATGCCGATTACGAAATGCGGTGGATATATTCAAATTTCACTTTTTTCCTGGGGATCAATTAGAACTGGTCGTGGGATGGTGCGGTTTTGTGTTAACGAATTAATAATTGGGCGTTGTTTTTTGTCGCAGCTAGTAAAGTGTAGTTTACGACCGAGCTTCTTAAAATAAATCAAAGCGAAGTTAATTGGTCGAATCGGGGCCGAAAAAAAACTTTACGGTACTGCTAAATGGTGGGTTATAAATTTTTTGTATCGTCCTATGGGGAGCAATTTGAAGCAGCTGAGAGCAAAAATTGAATTTTAATTATACGCAGCGGGAAAACGGCATTATGTGAGGTCAAATGAACGTTAAGGTCCGTAACGTTGAAAGTACCGACGACGTCGCATTATTTAATGGCTAGAAACGTTGAGCGCTTTGCTACTGGTCGCCGTGGTGCGTGAAGAATGGAAGATCGTGTCACTGGGAAATCATGTGTGGTTTGTCATGGTTAGGTACTTTTTTCTTGTTGGAATTATATGTCAATAGCCATATTCCGACACTAAATGAAGAACATTTTACTTATAGAACTGTTATAGCAATTTCTGTGGGCCCTTTTGGCAAAACTTTCTTCTTTTCCCTCCCTCGCTCTCGGTGTGTCCATCCTGGTTCTGCTCTTCGTCTTTTTTCTTTGTCTCCCTTATTTTCTATAATTCCATTCATCCAGTTCCCGCTCCTTCACCATTGGACCAATATGTCTTCCTGCTTTTATTCAATCTCTACTTTTCTACATTTTAATATCAGATGACAGACTCAAACAAACAAAAATTTTCAAAACGAAATTCCGTCACTGCTGTCTCCAAACCTCAATGTATTAACACGCTATTTATATCACAGATTTACATTCATTAACCTATGGCAATAATGTTACTGAATACGTCAAACTTGGCAACAATGTGCTTAATATTGTTTATCTACCTTTGCAGAGGACTTCCTACTAGTAAAGGAGTATACATATTTCCTTATGATTCTTCATTTCCTTATTATTCTGTGCCTCAATTTTGGCGGTCGGTTTAATCTGTTCTAAATGAACACTCAGGATATAGATTAGGTCATCTCTGTATTGAGGAAAATGCAACGTGGCATGTTTAAAGTGCAGTTTATAAGGTTATAAATCCGGAGGTCGGGTGTTCGAACCTGGGTTGAGGTGAATTTTTCATCTGTGGCGGAGATGGAAATTACCTTAGACCAGTTCCGAGCATTCTACCTGCTACTCCGAATTAGGTTTTCCTGCAGTTTTCCTAATTCGTAAGGTAAATACCGGAATAGTATAGACCAACTTAAGACCTTCTGCAGAGGCACCTCTAAATAGCATTATGCGGGTCACTCTGTAATTGGGCGCATGCAAGTTGAGGGCCCAAAACAAGAGAGGGATAATAATAATAATAACGTAAACAGAAAACCACCAAAAGGTTTTGAACCACCGATATGTCCATGAACTTAGCAGAGCAAGGTCAGCAGAACACAATCAAACATCTTGCATAATTAGGTACTAATTAAGTGCCATCGGCCACCCTTGGCTACGTGACTGCCAGCTTGGGCACTGGAAAAGCTAGTTTCGTAAAATCATTAGAGGCTACCCAGAACTCTAACTTGGAGTTTCAGTGGAATGGCATAAAATCGCGTTAAAAATACCTAGACCGAGAAACAACGACAAATTTAGTAAACGTCCGCTACCGCAATTTTCTCTGTACATAGGTTAGAACTAGCGTGTAAACGTAAGAACGCTAAGAAATCCATTGTCCTATGGAAATCGGAGTACCACAAGGTACTGTATTAGGGCCACTCTTGTATTCTGCTAGTGCCCGAGTTTCTATTTCTATAGCAGATGCTACTTTGGGAAGTGTCTGAAAATAGTAACACATTAACAACGTTTGCAAGACCTCTCATTCATTCATGCGTACATAGTAGTGGTGTGGTATAGATTTTTGGTTGCACTGTATATATTTCAGATCATACTCTATATCCAGCTCCACCGAGTTACAATAGAATTTTTCAATGCTATCCGCCAAGGTACTATCAAACGCGATTTATGCCAGGTTTGTATCCTTTTTCAGTGCCTTTTCTACAACTAACATCTAACGCGGTGGATGTGGGACTTGCATGCACCAAAAATCATTCCACCATTTTGTTGTTTGGCTAACGAGCACACTCTAACAACCTCCCTCGCGCGCTTCGCCTCTGGATTTATCTGGACTAATTTTGTTGTTTGTATAGGGAGCATCTTCGTGCGGCCGGAGGAGGGAAACGTTTACACAACGTTGGAGCCAACTTTGAGTACGAATCCCAACGTCTACTTCCAGTGCGGGAATGGCGTCCATCCGGGGATGATGTACTGATGACAGGAGCGGAGCGTGCGATTAGTTTTAACTTGTTGCTTTCTAATTGTAAAGTAATGTGTAATAAAATGAAAGAAAAAAAGTTACTCCCGTTGTCCACCTACGATTTGTTACAAAATACTTATGAAAGTTGTCTAATGGGTTTCTCTCGCTATTATTATATTGCGTTTGTACCTTGATCTGAATTATTTAAATATTTCTGTGATTGTTAATCAAATGATGGATTGCATAAGCTTATGCTTTACAGGAATTGATATCGTTAATTTTGCAAAATGCAAATCCGAAACAGAAATTGCATCAGAGAAGTATAGTGATGAAGCAGATAGCGGATAGTTCGGTAAATTTATCCCGAAACCTGGCTAAGATGAGCCTAGCCGCGCTCCTTTCAGTCGCATACTCCCAAACCCTTGTAGGTGCATGGTTCTTGTACCAGGGCTACATCAATATATGGCAGATACCGTTTTGGATTTCGACCCTTTTCAGGATTTGCTATGGGTCTAGCGGGCGCAAGCACGATTTTCCATGTACTTAAAGAAAAATTCCAAAGGTGACACATAGTACTTGATCCTCGGAGAGCCAGGTGAAGGTTCGCCCCCTTCTTACGGAAATACTATCCCTAGCTCGACATTCCGCGAATGTGGGCGTAGCCGCCCCAATGGACAAAGTGTCAACTCTGTCAAGAATCCAGGTTTTGATTCGCCCTGTCTCCTCTTAGCGTTACCTCTCGGTCTTCGTAGACAAAGGCCATTCTGAAACCTGTCGCTGCTTCGCTAAAGGGCCCAGTTTGTTTGTTCTGGGAGTAGTTTGTTTTATACGTTTTTTCTAGTCCACAAGTGTGGGGGAAAAAATGTCCCCACGTGTGGCGCCCCATCCCACGTGTAAGGCGACTTAGTACAACGGAGTGGTGATCCTCTAGTCAGCCACGCATCCCTCTGGCCCTTGGGATTTAGATTATACTTGTCCATGTGGTTCAAGTTGAGACTCCCTCGCCACCTTGAGCTACCCCGTAGAAACCATTGGCCCCGACACGGCAGCCGAGTGGGGTAACTCGTCCGCGATGCCGTTTTTGGTTGCTACCAGTCACTGTTCGAGTAAGATGTTCATCAAATGAACTCGACAAAACATTTAAATCATACAAAAAGACAACACTTCACCATTGTCGTTGGTGAGTCCATTACAGAACGATTTTGTAAATACTTTTTAGTATTCAAATCCTTTAAAGTACCTACTTATTCAAATACTTTTATGGAAGCAGTATTTGTATTTGTAACTCAAATACTTTCTCAAATATTTAGTATTCGAATACTTCGCAAAGTATTTGGATACTTCGTAAAGTATTCGAATACTTCGCATAGTATTTGAATACTTAACCTTCCTTTTTTACCAAAAATCGACTGCACCAAAATTTCTCGGGAAAACACTTTTTCTTATTAATTTTGGTGCGTAGAATCCAAAACAATTCGTACTTTTTCGATCAGACTTCTCAATCCAAGGTTATAGACTAGAAACCAATTTCGAAAAAAAATTCAAAGGGCTGTAACTTTTGAACTAGTAGCCCAATCTTGGAACTGTTTGAAATTATGGATTCTACAGGCCACATTTTATAAGAAAATTTTTTTTCCGGGTCGATCTGAGACAATTTTTTTTGCGGGCCTCAAAAAAAGGCAGTGTATAACCTTCCTTTTTTACCAAAAATCGACTCCACCAAAATTTCTCGGGAAAACACTTTTTCTTATTAATTTTGGTGCGTAGAATCCAAAACAATTCGTACTTTTTTGATTAGACTTCTCAATCAAAAGTTATAGACTAGAAACCAATTTCGAAAGAAAATTCAAAGGGCTGTAACTTTTGAACTAGTAGCCCAATCTTGGAACTGTTGAAATTATGGATTCTACAGGCCACATTCTATAAGAAAATTTTTTTTCCGGGTCGATCTGAGACAATTTTTTTTTCGGGGCTCAAAAAAGGCAGTGTATAACCTTCCTTTTTTACAAAAAATCGACTGCACCAAAATTTCTCGGGAAAACACTTTTTCTTATTAATTTTGGTGCGTAGAATCCAAAACAATTCGTACTTTTTCGATTAGACTTTTCAATCAAAAGTTATGGACTAGAAACCAATTTCGAAAGAAAATTCAAAGGGCTGTAACTTTTGAACTAGTAGCCCAATCTTGGAACTGCTTGAAATTATGGATTCTACAGGCCACATTCTATAAGAAAATTTTTTTTCCGGGTCGATCTGAGACAATTTTTTTTTCGGTGCTCAAAAAAAGGCAGTGTATAACCTTCCTTTTTTACCAAAAATCGACTGCACCAAAATTTCTCGGGAAAACACTTTTTATTATTAATTTTGGTGCGTAAAATCCAAAACAATTCGTACTTTTTCGATCAGACTTCTCAATCAAAAGTTATAGACTAGAAACCAATTTCGAAAGAAAATTCAAAGGGTTGTAACTTTTGAACTAGTAGCCCAATCTTGGAACTGTTTGAAATTATGGATTCTACAGGCCACATTCTATAAGAAATTTTTTTTTCCGAATCGATCTGAGACAATTTTTTTCTCGGGCCACAAAAAAAAGGCAGTGTATAACCTTCCTTTTTTACCAAAAATCGACTGCACCAAAATTTCGCGGGAAAACACTTTTTCTTATTAATTTTGGTGCGTAGAATCCAAAACAATTCGTACTTTTTCGATCAAACTTCTCAATCAAAAGTTATAGACTAGAAACCAATTTCGAAAGAAAATTCAAAGGGCTGTAACTTTTGAACTAGTAGCCCAATCTTGGAACTGTTTGAAATTATGGATTCTACAGGCCAAATTCTATAAGAAAATTTTTTTCCGGGTCGATCTGAGACAATTTTTTTTCGGGGCTCAAAAAAAGGCAGTGTATAACCTTCTTTTTTACCAAAAATCGACTACACCAAAATTTCTCGGGAAAACACTTTTTCTTATTAATTTTGGTGCGTAGAATCCAAAACAATTCGTTCTTTTTCGATCAGACTTCTCAATCAAAAGTTATAGACTAGAAACCAATTTCGAAAGAAAATTCAAAGGGCTATAACTTTTGAACTAGTAGCCCAATCTTGAAACTGTTTGAAATTATGGATTCTACAGGCCACATTCTATAAGAAAATTTTTTTCCGGGTCGATCTGAGACAATTTTCTTTTCGGGGCTCAAAAAAAGGCAGTGTATAACCTTCCTTTTTTACCAAAAATCGACTGCACCAAAATTTCTCGGGAAAACACTTTTTCTTATTAATTTTTGTGCGTAGAATCCAAAACAATTCGTACTTTTTCGATCAGACTTCTCAATCAAAAGTTATAGACTAGAAACCAATTTCGGAAAAAAATTCAAAGGGCTGTAACTTTTGAACTAGTAGCCCAATCTTGGAACTGTTTGAAATTATGGATTCTACAGGCCACATTCTATAAGAAATTTTATTTTTAAATTTTTAATATATTTGAGTGACAAGTATTTGAATACTTTTTACTGTATTCGAATACTTTTTATAGTATTCGAATACCTTTGAAAGTATTCGAATACATTCTAAAGTATTTGAATACTTTTCAATGTATTCTGCCCAGCTCTGGTCCATTACGGAATCGATCAATATGCCGTTGGAAAGTAGCTGGCGCGTTTAGGAGTCCAAACGACATGCTCGTTAACAGAAAACGAACGACGTCTTATCGTGATCGAGCTCATTGTCGCTGCGATAACCAAAAATGGTACGTTTATGCAAAAGATTCATGACTGATTTCGGCTAAATTTTTGTAGTCAATGCATAAAAGACAATGTTCTATATGAAGGAACCCCCGGAATGGAGCTTTTATTTTAATGGAAAATGGCGACACACACTGTATCAGTTGAAACGAGTTAGAATATCCACTGCCATTGGTAGTGGCTGTTGTACTTTAACCAGTTGGTGAAATAAAACATAACCTCTACAGTTTAAATGTGTAATCCTATCACCTTTTGTTGTAGCATTGAATCATAAGATTTATTATTCAATGGTTGTAGTTAATAATGGATGCTTTCGATATTTTTAAAAAATTGACCCAAGGCGCTCGGTTTAAACGAAATTCCACTCGCAGCGAAAACCCTGCGAGTACTTTTACCTACAAAACTGCATTGCCCGAAAAAGTAAAGCTAGAGGATGCAGAACAGAGTCAGGCCCAGCCTGAGAGTGATGAAGGTGTGGATGTGGACGAAAAGGCACTGACCTTACTGGGTACCATAACGTCGGACAAGCCTAAACTGAAACGTAAGAAGCCAAGTAAACTCAGCAACGAGGAACGAGAGAAGATTGTACACGAACAGGCGGTTAATCGTACTCGAAATCAACTGCACATAAACGTGTCCGGAAGCGATATACCGGAACCGATAGTGTCATTCGATCAGCTGTCCATTCCTACCGACCTAATTGTCAATTTGAAACGGGCCGGTTACAACGAGCCGACTACCATACAAAAACAATGCATTACAGTCATGCTGGAGGTAAACTTTCTCGTCCGTTTGTACCGAATTATATCGTAATTTTAGGGTAGGCAGGTGCTGGCCTGCGCACCGACCGGCTCGGGGAAAACGGCCGCCTTCGTTGTGCCCCTGATTCATCACCTGAAAGGTCCGCAGCGCAAAGGGTTTCGTGCGGTTATCGTTTGTCCGACGCGCGAATTGGCCAGGCAGACGCAACGTGAGTGCCTTCTGTTGTCTTTAGGTCGTGGATTTCGCATACATGTCATACACAAGAAGGCGCTCACTCAATACGCGCCGAAGAGTTCTCAAAAGTTTGGTAAGAGGTAAAAGACACCGCAGTAATTTGATTTTGCTCATCCAATTTAGACCTATTGGTGACGACCCCAAACAGCTTGTGCTACTTGCTGAAACAAGAGCCGCCGGTCATATCTCTGGCGAAGTAAGCTCCAAATATCCCCCGCTTCAGGTGTGGTTTATTCTTTGCGTTTGTAGCGTGGAGTGGCTGATTATTGACGAAGCGGATAAGCTTTTCGAGACTGGTCTTAATTCTTTTCGTGACCAAATGGAGGAGATCTTGTTGGCCTGTAGTAATAAGGATCGTAAAATAGGGATGTTTAGTGCCACTTTGACCACTTTCGTGGATGAGTGGTGCAAGGAAAATATGGCAGATTTTGTTCGGATAACTGTGGGGCAAAAGTGAGTACCTGTAATTTGTCATTTCCATGGATTACTGCTAGCTAGTAGTGGCCAAATTTGGCTCTTTTTTTGTAGTAACTTCCAAAGGCTAGTATGTATTGTTTATTGGGATTTTGTCACTTTTATGTAAATAGTTGCAGAAATGTTCTTTTTGAATCTTTGCTTTGGTAGGTAAGTGTTTGAGATTTAAATTTATAGGGTAAAGTAATGGACTCAAGAAAATTTGAAGAATTGTGTGATGTGTTGCCTATATGTAAGTATTTTCTCACAATTTTGTCTGATTTCGATTTGACATGTTTCTTGACTTGGCCGTCAATAAATATTATTATTATTATTTACTTTTTTTCCTCTATTTTTCTTGATGGGAGTTATTTTGAGCTACCTATTATTGATTTGTCAATGTTTAGTTCTTGTATGCGTTTGGACATGGATTTGGGTAGGGTCCGTGAAGTTAGCAGAACATTGAAGGCACAAATGTCGAGACTAGGTGGGTTGGTTAGTGCTTCGTTTGTGCCGGTTTGTGCCGTAAAAAGTTTGCCAGCAAAACATACCGTTTGGAAATTATTTCGATTTTTAAAGGTTCTGCTAATAGGCCAGTCATTGAGGATTTTTTCCTGGAAATAACTCGGGAAGTACAGAAATTTTGTAAAATTCATAAAATGCACAATTCTAAACTTGCCGCCGGGGCCGCCATCTTGCCAAGATGGCCGTCAAAATCGGTTTTCCGTCGATATCTCCAAAACTGCGCATTTTACGAGAAAATATGTGGCGAGCAAAATTAAAGAAACGAAAATTTCCTACAAAAAATGTAGCATATTTTCACTAAAGTTGGCCCTTACGCAGTAATTCAGAAATTTTTAATAACCAGTGGCGTATATTTTATCCAAATAATTCATTAATCATTTAATTAATTAATCAAATTGATTAACAATTAGTCTATGATCAATTAATTTTAGTCGTCGCAATCTTCTATGGTGATAGACTTGTCAATTTTTAAATTTTATTAGTTAAATCAATCAGTTATATTGTTATATTCAATTCCTTTTAGCTAACATTATGGACTTTATTTGTTTGGTATGTGATAATTTATGTTAATTTTACGTTAAGAGCGCCATACCTATAGCACGTGACCTTGCACGTGACTTCTCTAACCACACTGTCACGCTCCTACGCAAGAAAACCATGCATCACTGTTTTTCTTTCTATCCCTCTAATGACGACCACTTAGCACTTACTTTTGGTTACCTTCGTTAGGCGGCGCCACCTCACAGTCGCTTGAAAGGAAAATTTCTTTTTTCCATTAATAATAATAAAATATTGCCTTGAAAATTACTATAGCATGGAATGGTCAAAATAAACGCTTTCCATGATAGACTATGAATTAGAAATGACAGTAAAAAAATTTCAGATACCACCGTCAAAAAACCTTACGGTTTAAAGCTTTTAAATGAGTATTTGAAGTTGTTCTTTAATCAATTTCAATATCAATATCAAAAAATCAAAACTTAACTTTTCCGCACGGTAGCATCTGTTGAGACCCAGCACTTTCCTTTCATTGGATTTATTTCTCATACATCGCTTCGCCTTTTATTGAGCGAAGTATCTAATCGATTTGGCAATTAACTGCATGGATGTTCAATTTGATTTACCGTTAAAATTTCACAAAAATTGGTTACAAATAAGAAATTTACTTTTGCACATGCGCGAAAGAAGCTTTTGATATGTTTGAAATAATCGATCGATTTGCCTTTAGTAAAGGATGCTAATGTTAAAATTCCAGTAAGATCGGTCCATAAGTAACAAAGTTACTTTTGCGCATGCGCAGAAGATTACGGCCTACCAGTTTGGAAATTAATGGGTGCCTTCTCCACGCGGCAAGGACTGAAAAAATTACTCAATTTGTCCCATTCAATTTTGAGTTATCGTGCTAAAAACAACCCGGACAACGACAATGGACTTTTTTCTGTGATGAAAACAATACTTTACTTACCCATATATGGGTGTGGAAAAGTAATATCATAGATGATGCGATTTATATACACTTTATATACTACTTTAAACCACAGTAGGCGATGTGAAACAAACACTGATCTAGAAACTAAACTGTGTTGACATTGTAGCTGGAAAGATTTTAACAGACAAAGAGTCTGGCACAAGAAAGTAAATAAAAAAATTATAGAAACTTGAGAACGAAATAAAAGATTATTTTTCATAGCCTACTGTGACTTAAAGTAATAAAGTTTAAAAAAATCGCATAGAAAACCAATATCATTCATGGTGTGTTATATTTTTATCAGGCCGTGTGGCGCAATTCAGTTTAGGCTCGAGTGTGGTACTATGGGTCCCTGGTTCGAATCGGCGTTCGGGCATAGAGATTTGTAAATGTATAGTGGGTTGGGTTGGTAGAGCGACCTTGGATGAAACGTGCTGGGAGTTTTCACACATTCCCTTTTTTGGTCAAACTTTTTACTATACATTCCGGCACAAAGATAGCATTAACCCATGCGTGACAATAACATTATACTTAGTTTCAACAGTATAGCGACAAAAGTGTACAAGGTTTCCAGAACATCTAAAAATTGAGATAACCTTTAAAGGCAACTTTTTACCCCGCAAACCGGCACAAACGTAGCACTAACCAATCCATCTAGTCTCGAAATTTATGCCGACAAAAGTGTGCGAAGTTATAGCAAACATCTACAGACATCTAAAAATCGAAATAAGTTCTTCCAGGAAAATATTTTCCTGGCAATACAGCAGAAACCGGCACAAACGTAATTTGTGAAATATGTGTCGATATTCCTTTATCGACTGAAGAAGGAGAATCTGACGAATTCAAAGAAGCCAACGTTGATCCCGAAATAGGGATAAACGTATTCCGCAATGAAAACAGTGACATTAACGAACCGCCAGGTCCGTCAGGCCTGCGTAAATAGAGAATCTAATGTTACTTAAAATTAATTGATCATAGACTAATGATTAATCAATTTGCTTAATTAATTAAATGATTAATGAATTATTTTGATAAAATACACGCCATTGGTTATTAAAAATTTCTGCTTTTCTGCGCAAGGGCTAACTTTAGTGAAAATATGCTAACTACATTTTTTGTAGGAAATTTTCGCCTCTTTAATTTTGCTCACCACATATTTTCTCGTAAAATGCATAGTTTTGGAGATATCGGCGGAAAACCGCTTTTGACGGCCATCTTACCGACGGCCATCTTGGTAAGATGGCGGCCCCGGCGGCAAGTTTAGAATTGTGCATTTTATGAATTTTAGTTCTTCGCACTCAAGTATACAAAATTTCTGTACTTCCCGAGTTATTTCCAGGTAAAAATCCTCAATGACTGGCCTATTAGCAGAACCTCTAAAAATCGAAATAATTTCCAAACGGTATGTTTTGCTGGCAAACTTTTTACGGCACAAACCGGCACAAACGAAGCACTAACCAACCCACCTAGTGTCGACATTTGTGCCTTCAATGTTCTGCTAACTTCACGGACCCA